CATCAAATCTCCTCAGTCTCAGAAAACCATACCCTTTTCCCGTTAACATCAAGCGGCGCCGTCCTCAAAGGAAAAGAAACTTTGTGTTGAAATCTGCCGTTGAAGATGTCTCTGTTCTTGACTCCCCGCCGCCGCCTCCTCCTCCACCTGCAGATGCTAAATATCAACTCATTCCTTCCTTGAAGCTTAAATTATTGGTAATTTTTTTTACAGTTTTTCTGGGTTTTTGCTGGATTTTTCTCTTTCTTGCTCGATCGTGTGTTCTTTTTTTTCTTTTGCTTAGAGTTTTCCCCCATTTTCCCTTATCTTTGTTCAATTATGCTCCAAGATACATTACTTTATTGAATTTGTGAATTATTTAGTTTCAACTAGGTGGGAAAGCTTGGATATGTTTGGTGTTCATATGTGGCTTTGATTCATTGGAATTGGTATATGGGTAAATTACAAATTTGGTAACTGAATTTTACTCTTTTTCCTATTTCAATCAGTATACTTTAAATTTTTTCAATTTATTTACTGAACTTAATATATTGAATTTTTTAAAAGTGTGCTATATATGTGCAAATCGATATCATTTTATTGAAATTTTTGTCTTTTAAAATTACATCGTTTTTAACACCCTTAATAATTTAAAGGGGAGTGACCAAATAGAAGAGAAAGTAAAGTTTAGTGAAAAAAATCAATTTGTTAAGTTCAGTGAGAAAATTAAAAAAATTTAAAATTCAGTGAACAAAATAGGAGAGAGAGTAAAACTAAGTATTGAAATTTGTAATTTATCCTTATATATTAAGGCTTAAATCTTAATATTGATTTGGTATCGAATTTGTGATATAATGTCTCTGTTTCCCAAATTCAGAACACCTAAATCGAAGGATAATGTGAGATCAAATGAGCTTGAACTGGAGATGGATTTTATGTGAGGCTTCTAACTTATAAATTTATATTAGAAATTTAGCTGAGGCACAAAATTAGATTATCAACAGAAAATAATATATATATATATATATATATATATATATATATATATATATATATATTAAAACTATTTGAGAACTTGAAATTTCGAGAGGGTGTCATCATACCCTAACACTCCTTTTGGTCCATCCCGGCTTGAACCCACTTGTCATTATCTTATTGATTGTTAAAATGTCAGGTCATGACATGTTAATTTGTAAATTTTAGGTATCATATTAGGAAAATTATGAAATTCAGATACTATTAAAGAGATATATATAGGGACTGTATTAGGAAAAAATGTAAAATCTAGATATTAAATTGGATCAAAAACATATCCCTTGAGAAAAAAATTGGACAAATTTAGGTATCAAATTGTATATGAAGCAATAGATTTTTATATCTTGTATATTATGATACGAATAAGACAGGTCTATATTTGATGTACTCTCACGAAATTCTCATGTAATATTAGGGTAGACTATAGTGAATTCTTCTGTTTTGCCTTTGATTTTCTCATATAGGATTTTCCTCGTAAATATGTGTGTTCTTGTTTGCGATATTGTTTGTTTACTCCTCGTTATAACGTCGATTATCATAACAAATATTAAGGGGGAAAAAAAACTATGGGAGAATTGTTTCTATGTTATTTACAGAATGTTAACTTGTATGGAGGGTGGTTTGGAGTCAGGGTATTGTTTCTGGGCTGAATAGAGGTCTTTCTGCAAATGAAGATGACCTCCAAAAAGCTGATGCTGCTGCCAAGGAGCTTGAAACGGTTGCCGGACCGGTGGACTTAACGACCGATCTCGATAAGCTGCAAGGGAAATGGAAACTGATATACAGCAGTGCATTCTCGTCTCGGACACTCGGTGGAAGCAGGCCCGGACTTCCCACTGGAAGGTTGCTCCCCGTGACTCTTGGCCAGGTTTGCAGCATTCCTAATGTTATTATGATTGCTTTATTTGTGGACTCTATAACATCACAGTCCTCAAGCATTTTACCACAAAAATGCGAAAACTACGGTATAAATCGAAATTACTTGTGTCGTACACATATCCGCATTAGAGTTGAAAGATTTAAAGACTCTTGTTTCGTATTCAGGTGTTTCAGAGAATAGATGTAGTGAGCAAAGATTTCGATAATATAGCAGAAGTTGAATTGGGAGCTCCATGGCCTTTGCCTCCTCTTGAAGTGACTGCCACCTTAGCCCACAAATTCGAACTCCTAGGTTGGTACTTATCTTTACTTTGAGATTAATTGATTGAATGAAAAATCGGACCGGAATCTGGATCGATCGCCTGAATATGGGATCAGGAATCGGTAGCCTATCCAAATACCATTCAAAATGGTAAAGATGAACTGATGTAAAAACTTTCCTTTTTCATAGGAACTTCGACGATCAAGATAACATTTGAGAAAACATCTGTGAAAACAAAAGGGAACTTATCTCAGCTTCCGCCATTGGACGTACCGCGGATTCCAGATGCTTTGCGGCCTCCGTCTAATCCGGGAAGTGGTGAGTTCGATGTCACCTTTATCGATTCCGATACCCGCATCACCAGAGGAGATAGAGGCGAGCTCAGGGTTTTTGTCATCTCATAAAATAGTAAGCATATTATCTTCAAATCAAGGCCACCTTCTCTTGTGTATCCATGATGTCCCCTACGTCCGGCAAATTCGTGTATGCATGTCGGATTGTTTCTTCTTTAACAATCGTGTGAACTTAAACACCACACACATTGTTACTCCAATGGCATACTGTTAATTCAGGTGAGGCATATTAAATAAAATATATATGTAATAAAATTATAGGATTATAAGATTCAAATAAATCATATTCGTTACGATAAAATTAAGGGTAAAATATACATTTAGTACCTAAACTATTATATTTGTTTTGTTTTAACACCTAAATTTTATTTTATTTTTCAAAATCATACTTAATGTTTAGTTTAGTTTTAATTTTGATACCCCACCGTTAATAAATTAACATAACTGCTAGCATTTTATAGATAAATTACGTCATTCGTCATTCAACTATCTTCTCACTCTTATTTTGGTCCCTAAAGTTTAAAAAATTTCAATTTAACTACTCAACTTTTAAATTATTCTTATTTTAATCACTTTAATTCATTTTATTATTATTTTTTGCGACACAACATTTTTTATTATTATTTTATTAATATATAATTAAAAATAAAAGATAAAGCTTTGAAATTTAGAGTGATTAAATTAAGAGTAATTTGAAAGTTAAGTAATTAAATTAAAAAAAAATAAAAATTCAGTGACCAAAATAGGAGTGAGAAAATAATTGAGTAATGAATGATACAATCTATCCATAAAAAGGTGCAATCACTCGTTAAGTTTTTAGCGGCGATGTATTAAAACGAAATAAAAATTAAATATTAGGTATAATTTTGAAAAAACTTAAAGTTTAGGTACCAAATAGATTAAAATTGATAGTTTAAGTATTAAATACGTAATTTATCCAAAAATTAATTATATTATTATTCTTAAGTTGAATATTTTCTATTTTAATTTTAAATTCACCTTGACTCAACCTTATTTTTTTAAAAAGATTTCAATTGATTCAAATTAAGTTTAATATTTTTTTCAAAAAAAGCGATCGTCGAATTAAGTTTAAAAGTCCATTCCTAATTCAGATGCGACATATTAAATAAATATGTATTTATCTTAAAAACGTCAAAGTATATTTTTTTAATTATCATGCAATTAATATAAAAGTAAACAAATAATGTAATACAAGATCACATAAAATTATGTATTATTTTTACATAAAAATATTAGTTAAATAAAATAATTTAATTTGATATTAATATCTAAAATTATTTATTATTTGGGTAAAGTACACAAATGGTCCTTAGAGGGACTATTTGTGTAGTTTACCCTTATTATTTTATGTAAAAAGAGAGATTAATTAAATAAAATAACATAACATAATTAAATTCATATATATAACATAAAAATACAAAAAAATATATGATAAAATATTGAGGGAAAATGAGAGAAAAGAAACAGAAAAGTAAAAGAATAAATATTTGAAATTTGAAAATTATTATAAAAATTACATTATTGTTTTCAAAATTTATAATCTTTCTAAATATCATAACAATAAAAATATTAATTGAATTAAGTCTCTATAAATAAAAATATGAATAATTTTAATAAAAATATAAATTTTGATGTATTCGTATATTCAATTAATTTTTCAATATAAAACTGAGTTAATTGCATTCATATGTCTCCAAACTATAATTCTCATTTTAAATTGATCCTTAAACTTTTAAATATTATAATTTCATCCCCAAATTATGCCTCTCATTCTCAATTGATCCTTAAACTTTTGAACATTTTAATTAAATCCCTAAACTATGTCCTTCTTTCTAAATTAGTCCCCAAACTTTTGAATATTTCAATTTTATCCCTAAATTCATCCAAGTATGTAAATGGTTTTAACCATAATTTAACATAAATTTTATTTATTTTTTCAAACATATAATAATATAACTTGACCTGGTGATTTTATTAATAAGAGATGTGATCAGTATATACCTATAGTTTAGGATTTAATTGGAAGTTTAAAAAGTTTGGGGACCATTTTAGAATGAAGGTTATAATTTGGGGATAAAATTGAAATATTCAAAATTTTAAGGACTAATTTAAAATTATAGTCACAATTTAGGGATGCAATTGGAATGTTTTAAAGTTTAGGGTCTAATTTAAAATAAAAATCAAACTTTAAGGATATGTAATGCAATTAACTCTATAAAATTCATTTATATTTATTCTTAAAAGAGAAAAATGTTACCAACAATCAGTTTGTCTATTAGGATGAGAGGGTATTTAACAAGGTTAGGGATTCGAATCCCGATGTTTACGAATGGACCAAATTGAGTTAGGAGGGTCGCCTTTGTCTCTACAATACCCGATATGACAGATCTAGATTAATCGATCAATAAATCGGATATCAATTATTAAAAAAAAAAAGAAAAGGCCGAAATAGAAACCCATATCCACTAAATCTATCATCACCAAAGCAAAATAAAAACCCTAATTCCTACCTCTCCCCCTCTCTGTCAGCCGCGAACACTGTCGTAGAGAACGAAAATGGTGAGTTATTTTCTCTTTCAACTCTAACGGAGCGTACCTTTTGTATGCTTCACAATCATTTATTCTGAGTTTTAATATTTGCTTTTGAATTTTGTTTAGCCGTTCAAGAGGTACGTTGAGATCGGGAGAGTGGCTCTAGTTAACTACGGTAAAGACTACGGCAAGTTGGTTGTCATCGTTGATGTCGTTGACCAGAACAGAGTATGTTGTTTTCTTATTTTTTTTGCTTCCAGATTTAACCCGGTATTAGTTTTTATTTGTTCATTGGATTTATAGTGGCACAATAGCATTTGAGTTTATGTTTAAGGAGAGAAAATGAATATCAACGTGGCATGGTGTTTTAGGGTTTTTATGTTTCTTAGGGTATTTTTCATTAGTTTTGATTTGGTAAGAGGGTGAATAATCAACTTTTGGTGGAATTTTGTAGTTTTGTTTTTGGGTAAAGCACGCTAAGGTCCAATTGATTTTTTTGGCCATTAACTTTATGATTATTTTGTAATAGTTCAATAAAATTTAATGATCATTTTGTAGTTATTTGATAAATTTCATGACCATTTTGTATTTATTGAAACTTCAGTTACCAAATGATTATTTTAGCATAGTTCATTGACCTCTGGTGTAATTTACCCTTTATTTAAGTGTTGATTGAAATTTGGTTAATTGAGTTTAATCCAGCTTGAATTATTTTAAGGCAAACCAAAATGAACCTGCATGTTATTAAGTTATATGGTATTTCGCTGATTCTATTTGCTAGAGTTATTGTTCTAAACAAATGTTGCTCGGACTTGAGAGTGAGTGTTAGATATCGTGTTTGTCATGTTTTGATAGCGGGGAAATGATATGGCGGAAAAAAACACTGGTCCAACGTGTATGGATTTGACGTGGATGCTAGTTTATGTGTTCTAAGCTTTTGTTGATACGTGACTGTTGTTTTTGTCTCGCTAATTGTGGTATATATCAATGTTGTTAAACTTAGAATGGAGGATATAATGCGGCGTTTTAGAGGCCTTGTTGAATGATGAATCATGATTCATTAGTCTAGTTGAATTTTGGTAGGTCGATATTCATGTGCAGAAGAAATGGATGGGTATTGTCGTATTGACGTGTATCACTGTTATCTTGGTATGGTAGGCACTTGTTGATGCCCCGGATATGGTTCGAGGCCAAATGAACTTCAAGAGGCTTAAACTGACCTTTATCACAATTGACATTCCCCGTGTTCCGAAGAAGAAGACACTGATTGACATTCCCCGGATATGTTTTTTTACCTACGTTACGTTGCTTCTGAACATATAAAGTTTCATTACTAATTTGTTTTTATTTGACTGGAAGATGTGAAGAACAAGTGGGAGAATAGCTCACGGGGTAGAAAACTAATTGTCCAGAAGATAAGGGCATCTCTCAACGACTTCGATCGGTTCAAGCTAATGTTAGCTAAGATCAAGGTCAGTTCATTGTACTAGTATGTTTACAGGATTCGTGCGCAATCGTTCTTCTCGAAATCCAAAAGGTTTCCTTGAAACCTTGATCCTAGCTAACCGGATTCGGTATATTTTGCAGAGGGTCGGGGTCGTCAGACAAGAGCTCTCGAAGCTGAAAAAGGAGAATTCGTCTTGAAACCATACCGAATCATGGGGTTTTGCTAGTTTTGTCATGAACATTGTGCAAGTTCTTGTATTTTGGAATGGGTTTTTTTTTTAATTAAGATCAGTTGAGGGCACTTTATTTGCTGTATGACAGATTTTGTAATGAGTTCATTGCTAGAAATTGTTGGTCATTGTGGTGCCTTGCTTATCCAAAACTTTTGATACATTCTCACATTAGTTCCTTGGGTTTTATTTTCTTCACATTAGCCCTTGAATTTGGGTTTCGTTACGCAAGTTATTCCTTCTAATGTTTGATGGTTTATGTTTTTCTAGGGTAAACTATACATTTAGTACCTGAACTATCAACTTTGATCCATTTTAGTACCTGAACTATCAGTTTTGATCCATTTTAGTACCTAAATTTTCAATTTTTTAAAACCATACCTAAAGTTTAGTTTTTGTTTTATTTTTAGTACCAAAACTAAAGTGTTGAAAAAATTGAAAGTTTAGGTACCAAAACACGTTTAGTATTTAAACTATCCTTAAGTTTTGAAAAAAATAATATGAAAGTTTAGGTATTAAAACGGATTAAAATTGACAGTTTAAATATTAAACGTGTTAAGTTTTTAAAGTCGGGTATTAAAATGAAATAAAAACTAAATATTAGAATGATTTAAAAAAAATAAAAGTTTAGGTATTAAAAGTGATTAAAACTTATAGTTTAGGTATTAAACGTGTAATTTACCATTTTTTATTTACATTTCTCTTTCAATTTTGTTGTGTTTTACACATTGAAATTTAGTGTAAATTACACCATTAGTCATCAAGCTTAAAGTTATGTATTGATTTTTGCATTGAATTTTAAAATTGTCAACTCTTTTAGCCATGTTATTGACTAATTGTTGTCATTCATGACAATACTAGACTGATGCTAAAATATTTATATTTTTCAAATTGATTTTTTATGAAATTTAAAAATTAGAATTTTAAAGTTTAAAATTAGAGTACTAAAGTTTAATGTTAAAATTGATACATAATTTAAAATGTAGCTATTAATGATATAATTTATCTTAAAATATAACTAAAATAACTTGGAATAAGTTTCTAACTAATACATAAATACATCAAGTAAGCATGTCGCCGGCGTTCATCCTGAGTTAGGATCGAACTCTCCATGAGATTCATAGTTGCATTACTTATATCTTCCTTGTTTGTATACAACCGATTCGGAATTGTCTTTCATTCAAGGCATAACTTGTATCCATGCGTTCCATATTCACCTAGTGTTCACTCCTAGAAATATAGCTATCCCTATTTCCTCACGTCAATTCCACGAGCCTCTTATCTATTCTTATTCAATCATGGCAGAGGAGCAAGGCAAAATAGAAAAACTCACATTGGGTTTAGGGATAATCAAGCTCGATCTGATGACTTTCACCATGTAAATGTGACACTCTACCACTGAGTTATATCCATTCTTTGTCCTCATCAAGAAATAGAACTGACTAATCCTAAGTCAAATAATCGAGAAACTTAACAACACCACTATTCTTGAACACTTGGAGCCAGACTTTCCTTTCGCACTATTACAGATACGACAATAATGAAAAAAGTTAGATTCAATTGTCAACTACTCCAATAGAAAATAATCAATTAATTTCAACGACCCAATTCATATATTTAATTTACGATAATACTTAAAGTTAAACTTGATGTATAAGCTTTTTATAATATTGAATATATTCATATACAAGACATATTTAAATATCATATGGCATGCTAAATGTTGTGTTCTCTTTCATGCAGCTTGGCTTTGTTTACCGTTCATTGACTTGAATCAAGACAGGTAAAGCTAAAAGTAGGAACAAATATGGCTAATTAATTTCAAATAAATTGCTTACCTAGCTCACCACAACTCATAATTAATGCCTCTATGATCCATGCCGATCCATTTTCTTTTCATTTTTAGTCCTTATACCCCATTATTTTATTAAAATGTTGGTTTGTTTCCGTTCCTAATACGAATAAGATTTTCTTTATTATACATGGATAGTATTGTTGGAATTTTTAATTACGTGGTCGTTTGAAACTTCTAATAATTAAGTAGAGTTAATTGCATCATATGTCCCCAAACTATAATCCTCATTTTAAATTGACCCCTAAACTTTTGAATGTTTCAATTTCATCCTCAAACTATGACTCGCATTCTAAATTAGTCCTTAAACTTTTGAACATTCTAATTTCATCCCTAAACTACAACTCTCTTTCTAAATTAGTCCCCAAACTTTTGAATTTCCCAATTTCATCCCCAAATTCATCCAAATGTGTAATTAGTTTCAACCATAGTTTAACCTGAATTTTTTCCCACACATACAATAAGCCTAACGGTTTTATTAACGAGGGATGTGATTAGTATATACATATAGTTTGGGATAAAATTGGAATGTTGAAAAAGTTTAGGGACTAATTTAGAATAAAAGTCATAGTTTGAGGATGAAATTGAAATGCTCAAAATTTTGAGGATTATTTTACAATCATGATCATAGTTTATGGATGAAATTGAAATATTTAAAAGTCTAAGGATCAATTTAAAATGAGAGTCATATTTTAAGACATGATGTAATTAACTCAATTAAGTATTATAGTTTTGGTACGATATTGCCGTGGAAAGTCTTAGGTTTTATCTTCATATCATTAAGTCTAAAGAAGTACCTCAGTCGAGGAGAGTACAATACGAAACTCGTATAAGGTGTAGAATGTTTACTATAATTTATTTCTCGATATTATATTATCACACGATAGTCCGATTAAGAGTTTGACATTAATTCATTATAGTTGTCGTAACCGTCCTCGGATAGGCTCGGAATTGAGTTCCGACTTAATTTCGATGTGTTAGAGTCACCATCGATCATTTAAAATAAGGTTAACCGAACACTTTAACTTACCGTTTACCTGATCTATATTTTACCAGAAATTAATCGGATTCGGGAGTTGATTACAGCCAATGAAGGATTAACACTCTTGTACTGCCCTTTCGGCACCAATTCAATTTTTCAGTTGTCTTAATTACGAAAATTAAAAGTTAAATTAAAATTTAAAATTCGATCCGATTTACTTACCTTTGATCAATTAAAATTGTCCTAAAAAACAAATTAATGTTAAATAATAAGATAAAATAAAATAAAATAAGAAAACATAAAATTTTAAATTAAATTAAATTTAAAAAAATTTAAGAGGGATTAAATTGGAAAACATTAAAAATTGAAGGTCTAAGATGTTAATTGAAGGCTGCAAGGGGAAAATAAAAAGTTAGGGGGTCAATTCGTAAAATGTAAAAAATATAAACATGGATTAAATTGAATAAATTCAAAATTCAAGGGCAAATTTACAATAAGTGACCAAAATGAATTACACTTCAGAATCAGAGGGAGTGAGGAAATAATTAAACTATTTCGTAATTACACACAGACCCTCCCTATAAATAGCCCAAAAACCACAAAAAAGCATTCTAATCCATTTAACACAAAAAAAATATTTTCTCTCCAAAAAAGCTCTCAAACCCTATACTCCAAAATCCCAACCGGCCAACGGCAGACCAATAACCAGTCACGACAACGCCGCCCAGCCACTGCTCCGGCCAATAGAGGTGGTGACCAAAATCCAAACTTCACCAAAACGCTTCCCTCAACACCCTAAACCCAAATCCGAAACACTGAATCCTCTAAAAATTCTCAAATAACGTAGATCTAGGTTGAAAGTTGTGACTTTTACCTTTCCCGACGAACCTTTTCAACTTCCGTCAACCAAGGCCTTCTCGATTCCAAAGCTAAGTTTATATCACTCTCGGTTTTTTGTGATTTTTTGTTTGGTGAGTAATTCGAATAGCTAATGCTTGGTTTGATTTTTTGGTATTTCGATACTTCCTTTTTTGTCCCCATGTCTTTGTTCGATTAGCAGGTACATATAACCCCTCAGGAGTGTTCTTTTCCTCCTAATTCGGTGGTGGTTAGCCGAGACCTATGGGGTTGTTCTCCCCGTTGTCCGACATTCTCGGGTTTGAGAATATATTCCCCTCTAACTGAAAATCATATGAAATATGGGTTTGGTTTGTTTGCTCCGATTCTGTTGCGATTTGGGTATGATTCAGGAAATAGTAGCGTGCATTGTTCCCAACAAATTCTTGCCGTTGGATCAAGTGGCCAGATCCAACGACTCTTGTGCGGCTGCGTATGTGATGAAACGCTTAGGGCTTTAAAACCCTAATTATTATGCGATCTAAACTGTTGATCACTGCTCGATCTAACGATTGTATGCCATGTGGCACTGGGACTATATACTAAAACCCTAATAAACCTTTTGTCTTACTGGGCTTGCTCGATGGGCCTCCCACCGGGTCTGCTTGCTGGGTTAGGCTTGCAGGCTCGGTTGGGCTTCATTTTTGGACCTGGACTTTGAATCTTTGGACTCATTGGACTTGTTTAAAAAAATAAAATAATATAAATAATAATATAAATAATAATAATAATAATAAATAATAATAAAAATAATATATAATAAAATTTATATAATATTATATTTTTCAAAAATAATATGTTTTCAAAAATTATATATTATATATGTTTTCAAAAAAATCGTTTTAAAAACTATATATATGTTTTCAAAATATGTT